ACATTAAAAAAAAAAAAAGTTTTTACTGTACAGTTGTGCAATTTTAAACTTCTTAAGTTTACTTTCATTAAAGGCTACTAATTTACGAAATTTGAATGTCTTTTGTATAATTACAGCCAGCGCTCATCCAAATCTTAAAATCCATTTTATACTAAGGTATTATTTTAGCAATATATCGATGGCAGCAGCACAAGCAATTTTTATAATTTTTTTATATTGCTAATAAGATAAAAAAATTTATTTTCTCATCGAGTTATGAATTTTATTATCTCATCGAATTTTTTAAACAATGTAAATTCACTCAGCTTTCATGGATGTTAGGAAAACATCTTCTCAAACCCTCAATAATTAGAAATCGGTAAATGTTCCCCTCAATCTTCTAGACAAATAGAGAGAACTCTCATAAATCAACATTTATTTAAATTAAGAAAGTAACAAAACGAAAAACAAAAAGTTCATCTTTTTGTAAATATTTAACAGATTAAATTTTTTTTCTAAGTATAGATAATGATTTTAACTCAATAATTTAATTTCGTTCCCTCCCTACGAAATAAGTGAGCTTGATCCCGTGGCCTTGTTCCCTTGTGTTTATTTATTTTATTCTAAAAGAATTTATTATATTTCCCAAACACTAACATTTTTGCACAATTTAAATAACTTTTTCCTGTCAAAAAGTGAAAGATTTCAATTGCTTTTGACTGATTAAAAATTCGTGCTTTTTAAAAAAAAATTTAAGTATAGTAAAATTCTTAAAAATTTATTGAATAAAACTCTTAAAAATATACAGGTGAAGAATGAAACTAAATATTAAAAATTTGAGACGTAATTTGTTTAAAATTTCTCAATTTTTTTTAATATTATTTTTAAATTGCAATGGTGAATACTATTTTTCTTGGTATTATTTAATATATCCGGTATATTGATGAGAAATATTACAACAAAATAATTAAAAAATTTCTGAATTAATACCGAATAGTCCAAAAATTACGGATTTAATGCAGAATAATGAAAAAATTTCTGAATTAATACAGAATAGTACCAAAATTACTGTATTAATACAGAAGAGAACAAAAATTATTGCATTTATAAGGAATAGTTCAAAAATTACTGTGTTTAATTAAAATAGAACAAAAATTACTGAACTATTACAGAATAGTGTAAAAATTACCATACAGAAACTTAAGTTTGGAAGTAAATATATTTCAAAACTGACAATTACAGCCATGATATTTTAGGCAATTGCAAAATATTTATTTTTCTGTAACGCAAATTCTCTAATATTTTAATAGGTAATTGATGAAATTCAAAATTTCGATTTTGAACTACCCGCTTTGAACTTCACGGCTAAGCAGTTGACGTATATCTTAATAACCCAAGTAAGAACATTTTGATAATAACTCTCTTAAATAAAAATAAAAACTTTTTAACTTTATTTCAGAATGTTAAAGCTTTTTAATATTATTTTATTCCAAATTATCTCTATAAACATTTTCCCAAGATGTGGTGTTCAGCTAGCAGTAAGGAAATGGAGCAATTCGAATATGATAACGATGCCCATGCTGCCGCATATGTAAGGTAAGATATAAGTTGGTTAAAAAAATATTTTAGAAAATATGAACACCTAATTTTTTAAGAAATATTCGACATTATCAAACTAGCTTTTGCCTTAAACGAATGCGTTAAACATTTTTTTTTAATATATTCATAAACAGAGTTGAATAACTTCTTTGAGAAAAATAAAAATGGTAACGAAGATCTACAAGTAAGAACAAACAATTTTACTTCTTCTTCTGCTGCTGCCTCACAGCCTGTTGCAGGTTTAGGATGTCTCCAAAAGTTTCTCCACAGTTCTCCAACTATTAACCAATTAGAGTTACAGTTTAAATTTACAACATATTTACATATTTTATATTATTTTCATGATTTAATGCGACGCCGCTTTGGAAATGTAAGAAGCATACTATGAGTTTAATATTCATTTATATGTAATGGTAATAATTTAATAATATAAATGTAATGGTTAAATGCAAAACTTATGCATTAATGCAAAAATATCATTAGCGTTCTTATTTTTTCTGGTAGTGTTTTTAAAGTATTTTTGATAAGTAGCCCAAAAGTTACAATTTAAGTTAATTTGCTGTTATTAAATCGGCTAATTAGTTTAGTGATGGAATTTGATGAATTAAAAAGGAACCCTTACTTTTTATTTCAGGATCAATGGAATCATGAAAAATGCGAAAGGTTTTTCTGAAGCTTTCAACTGCTCGAATGGAAGTCTTATGAATCCAAGGAAAAAATGTTTCTTTTTTGATTAATTCCAAAAAATGTAAATAAAAAATATACATATTTTATGAAAGTTTTGTTTGTCTTTCTTATGGAAAAATGCAAGAATTTTAATCATTTTCCTCTAAATTGTGTAATTAATTATTTGTTTATTTATTTTTTTGACACAATTATAAAATTCATTTATCAAGGATAATTCCATGCAAAAATTCTTTTTAATAAATGTTTATTAGTTTTTATTAATTTATTTAATAATGGTCGAAATAATGTTGAATTGTACGATATACAAACTTTTGTAAAATTTTAAAGCATTTAATTTTACATGGCAAAATGCAAAATTTGAGCACATTCGGTCGAATGGTTCCTGAGAAATCGAAGTTTAAATATCTGGTCAGAAATCCGAATCCGTCAAAACGTATGTTTATTTAGAGAAAGTACGTTTTTGTATCTGATTTCGCAATCTAAAATATCGTCTGCCCTATTAATTGGCATATTTGTGGTCACCTCCTTGAGCGAGTCCTACAACGCGAAGATCCGATGATTAGATCAAAAGTTATTAAGAAATGTCGTTTTTTTTTTCTTTCTTAAAATTCTATTTCAAAGTACAGTGCTAAAAAAAAAAGGAATTACATAATTGCATCTTTCAGTACATTTGCCAAAAGAGGAATGCATGTCTGCATGCAAAAGTATCTTTAGTATATTTTACCTTCTGGAACAGGTTGAAATGAAATCTTAAATTTTTCAGTCAAACTATTGACCAATAAATTAAAACCAAATTAGTATATAAATTTCAAGTCACATAAATAGATATTTTCTGCTTAATTTTTAAAAAATTGTAATTTTCAAGTTTGAAATCTGTGTGGTTAGTCCATCCACGAAGTTAAATTTAGATTGTCTTGCACTCCAAATTGGATCAGCTGTCCAACACCGGTTGTAAAACGAAACTTATATTTCATAAATGCAAATTAGTCCAACTTTATGAATACACTGTATTTTAAATTTGACACATCTTGTTTTATATCTATAAGCACTGATATCTGAAAATTCAAATTTCACTTATTAAAAGTATGCAATGTTCTAATAAATATAATTCCAATTCAAGCATTACTTAATATAAATATTTCAAGCTGCAATTTAGCAGTTCCTCTAACATTTCCAATATAATTCATTTTCTTCCAATATAAATCCAGTATTTTAGACAACCTAATAACGCTTATTTTATCATCCGATCTACCTATCTAAATGTCACAAATTTTATTTTTTGGCACTTTGCCTGAAACCTACTGACATGTTTACATATATTCTTCAGTGAATATATCACAGCCACGCCCAGGGCTTTGATTTAATTCTTAATCACGTGAAGTCTAAGTTGGGGAAACACCTACACAAATGTGAAAACTACATTTATGGCACTTGTTCGCTTTCATCCAAAATAAATCTGAGTTTCTGTAGCCCCGTTTTCAAAACATTGCATATTTATTTTTAAGGGGACTGGCATGAACATTTGCGAAAATAAACTTTGAGATAAGGCGCATGAATAGAGGACAGTGTTAATTATCTGGTAAGCGGTTTGAAGATAAACACTTTTTACAACAATTTACCCCAAAGTTCTAAAAATAATAGCGAAGTTTGAACGGTACATTTGATGTTTTCGCTAATAAAGCTGTTTTGAACTTTTATTAAGGTTTGAAAGCCTTCAGTTGATAGCTAGTGTAAAATGTTAGCTAAATTTAACTCGATGGACGCAAATATAGTATATAGATAAAATCAAAAAAGTTTAGTGTCCAGAAACTAATTTAATAGCGTCGTTTCCGATATTTAATAGAGTAAAAAATTATTGAGAAATTGTTCTTCAAATTTTGGGCGCGTTCTTTTTCAAAATGATTTACCTACGTTCTGGGTTCGTTTTTCAAAGTTCTTCTGCCTTTTCGTTTGGGAAATTCTACTTCTTCTGCCGAAAAAAAAGCGTCCCGTTGCTGAAAAAAAAAACTTTCTACTCTACCAATGATTCTGATTGAACTGAATGAAAACTTAATAAATAGTAGCCTGTAAAATATCCACCCCGCTAGAGGGCATATATTCAAGCGTTTCGATCGCGAATCGCAAATTTTCTTTGAAACGATGTTCTTAAGGAATTAAAATCTAAGCATTTCATTGAACTCAACCAAAAAAATGATCAAACGATTATGAAGAACCTTATAAATTCAACTAAGAATAACAAAAGAAACGACAAATGCGTAGATTCATCAATCTAACTGACAGTTAAGCATTTTGCCATAGCAACACAGTTTTGAAGCCATTTGGGCCAGACAGATGCCATTTTGGCATGCATCGGAAAAATAAAATGCATCGTCCTTTTATATACTCTAGCATTAGAGTATAAACTTTTTATATATTTCTCCGTGAGTACATTCTGAGCAATAACAGATTCGTATTTCAAACAAATTTTTTAAATCAATTTATTGGGAATGGGTATCTGATTTTAAAAATTACTTCTCGTTTGCGCAAAAGCTAAGTTAAAAACTTATGCGTTCAAAACAATTAAAAAATCAGACGATTTTTTTTATTATTATCTTTTAATTTTAAATTAGCAAACTATTTCAGTAAATTTTTTTTACTAAAATGAGGTAAAGAAAGTTCTTGGTGGCTTAATAAAGCAAGTTCTTACACATAAATAAAAGTTGAGGAATAAAATATAAGATGTTTTAAAATACGTAAGTCTTTAAATATTTTTGTAATTATTATTATAAAACACTGCATGCATTTGCTTTATTTAATTTCTTTTAACTGAGCTTTCAGAAGGATGAAAAGTTAATCATAATTATCTTTCACAAAATTCCTTGTCTCTATACATACAGTAGATTTATTCTGAAGTTGTAATATAAATCCATCTATAAAGAGGTAAAACAATATTCTACTAGTTCTTTTGTTTGATTTAAAAGTATATCTTTTAGAAATGTTTTTTGTTTTAGAGCATATAGGAAATTTAATTTTCAGTAGAAGAAAATGGCATATAAATTTATTATGGTATGAGTGTATCAAAAAAAATCTAAGCTAATTTATATACAAACGTCACCATTTAATAAATTTCTACTACAATTAAAATTTAGTATAAAATTTATTCAAGATAATTTTTTGTAAAATTTTTAAATAAATTTCAAAAAAAAATATTTGTACAATTTTAAAAGAAACTTAATTAACTAAATCTGATTAATATGGTCTGGTTTAATAATTAAGATAGTCATCAGATGTAATGAGTATTCTTTTTAATATTTTGACATAAAATCGATTACACATTTTAACTAAATATTGGAGAAAAAAAATTATTTTCATAATAAATATTTTAATGCAAAAAATTTGAATTATATTTGAGAAATTATACATTGTTTATCTATCACTTGAAAGAAATAATCTACATATTCAAGAGGTGTGAAAAACTTTTTAAAAATGTAAATATAAATAAAGCAAGTGCATAAAATATTTTTAATTGTCTATAATGTCTAACTCATTTGCTAAAATTATTAAACAGTAATTATGAAATAAGTTTCATTTACCTAAAACTGTTTGTAACATTTTTAACGCAATTAAATTTATTTTACAGTATAAATTGGGAAGAAATTACCATGAAAAGTAATATTAGCAAATTACCAAGTAAAAATAGGGAACATATATAGTATATAGATATAGATTATTTTTGTAGTTAATTATTTTCCGTAGTGAATAATTATTCATATATAAGTCAATGGCAAAAAAGTTTCAAAAATACTGAAGAAGCTAATAATTTCGCAAAAATCTATTTTTGTTTAAAAAAATAAACGAAAATATAATGAAAATTCATTTTTCCAACCAACTTACCTACATACGGCCATGCAATTGAAAAACCAACACAAGATTTTTCATGATAGATTTCGAGTAAAGTCGCTTGAAAACTATTTTTTTTTCCATTGCTAATCCTATGGACGTTTCAACTGAATTTTATGAAAAAAAGACAAAAAATTTTTTTGGAAAAAAAATATTTGCAATAATTTGTTTACCTTACAAAAATGTGAATTTTTTGTTGCTTACGCTGTTTTTTTCCTTCTATTACGCGGCGGAATATGCCTGCAATGTAAGAACTGTTTTATTTCATTTTTAGCTAAAGATAACTTGTTTTATCTATTTCTGATGACTTAAATTCTCATCTTTAAAATTCAACAATTTTTAACATTTCTTCAAAGAAAATTTACAAAATTTAACTGTTCCAATTCATTTTTTATACCAAATTAAAAAATCTATGAAGTTTTAGTGTACTATTCCAATAAAAAATGTATATAAAATTAAATATGAAATTATTTAATTTTATATTGTTAAGAAGCACGTTTTATTCATTTCATTCATCCTATTTTAAAATTTAAGTCGAAAATTCATAATGAAATCAATTTCATTTTTCAGAATGAAAATTAAACTTAAATTTTATAACTTAAATGGATACAAAAGCAGAGCAAGCAAATTATATCTCCAACTTTAAGCTTTATGTGCTGCCACGTAATTTTTACGTTTTTCATATTACTGCAGATTTCTTATTTATTAATGCTTCTCATATTTATTTATTTTTTTAAAATTTCCTGTATTATGTTAGTTTTTTCCTGTATGAATATAACTCTATACTATGTCGTGCATGTAACGTACATGCATTAGCGCTATCATGTCTCCTTTTAATGTCGTCATTGCTGAATAATTCCTTATTCACAATAGATATTCTGTGAAAATCTGAAAAACAAATTTGAAAAAGATAAAAACAGAATCCTAAGATTTACATAGAAATTTATTTCCTCGTTCGTCAAATATATTTCTTCAAATTTACAATCATCAATTAAGTATATGATACATCAAAATTCGCCCTGTTGCAGGCTTGTCTTATAAACTAGCAATAAGCTCAGCGCAACATTTAATACCCACGAATTGCCACAATAATAATAATAATAATAGGAAGCAAACTGAGCTTCTCGGAGGAATGTTGGCAAAACAGAAGACCTAAATTACATCTACAACAATGATATATAATTCTATACAACGGATGAATATCGTAGAATATGAAAATTTTATCTCAGTGAAAAAAAGAAAAAAAGACCGGTTCATTATTCGTCATATTCCATTTAATTTTGTCGCCCAAACACGATAAAAAAATTCTTTTCAATTTGGCATATACATAGTAACTTTATTTTAAAGGCTGTAAGTTTTCTTTTAGGTAAACCAAAAGAAAGTTCTTAATCACCTAATTGGCAAAATTTTGTGCAACACGAAAAAATAATGACCCGGTACTAAAAATAAATTATCAAATGACAAGAGATCAGGACTGTGGGAAAATAGAATTTACAAAAAACATTTTAAAATGAATTTAATTTCTGGGTTTAAATAATTAAGTTTAAATTACGTAAGTCACACCCGTATAATGGAACCCGAAGAAATGCTTCAGTGTAATTGTACACTCTGCGACAAATTTTAATAATGTATAAAAATCAAAAATAAAAGCTAATTTACTTCCTTAAATACTACAATTCAAATAAAAATGGGTACAAATTTCAGAAATGTGAGTAACAACTATAAGAATATTAAAAAATAAAAAAAATTTTATAGACATAAAATATATATATATTGTGTAATATAAAATTAATTGAAGAAAAACAAAGTAATGCAAAATAGTAAATTTCTAAATGTTCATAATTTAACAGCAAAAATAAAAAATTCTATTCAAAGTTTAAAAATTTATCCACCATCTTCCGCAACTAATTGCTTAAGTGAAATCGAAACACTTTGCTTTATACTTGAGATTATAGGTAACTAACAACAAAATTAATTATATACTATTGCAAAAAACTTATGATTTTTGCAATAGTAACTTAACGAAAAACGAAAACACTTATGACCTTATGATACTATTGCAAAAAACTTATTATGAATTGGTTATGATTGTAAAAAACTATTGTAAAAGCTTATGATTAATTGACATTTTGATCAAAATAAAAGGAAACTGAATCTAATGCTTTTACGTCTAGTTACTTCTTGAATTTTAAAACAAAGATTTCACATTAACTGAAACTAGGGTCTGTTATGAGTATTCCACAGTCCTGTTAAATAGCAACACACACACAACAACAACAACAATAAATCTACACTGATCGTTTTAGTCCACTACAAGAAAGACAGTAAAGAGGAGCTGTTTAAGCCATTTAACACTTGTCAATGGGTATCGTGCGCTCTTTGAAAGAATCGATAGCTGGAACAGGAGCTTCAATGGTTAGGATGCCGTCTTTGGACAATGCAGACTTAATGAGTTCTGGGTTGGTACCCACAGGTAACATAAATTCACGATTGTATTCCCTGTAGACGGTTTTATTGGGTGTCTTCTCTTCGTGTTTCGCAGAGACCTAAATGATAAAGAAGAATAGAACAAATAAATAAGCATTAGTTTAATGCTCATAATATATCAAAAACTACTCTAAGGAGTTTCAGAAAATACATAGCTCGCAGCTATACTGATTAGAAATATTCTTAAGTTGAGTAATTTCATTGATTGATTCATAAGAATATCTCTAGTTTTTCTTCTTAGTGAAAGAGTATTTCATAATTCGATCATACTCAACAACATTGCGAAGAGGTGGTTGGGAAATTTTTAAGATAGACGCTGTTTTTGAATTTCGGACAGCTCTTCAGAATATTAGAAATATTCCTAAGTTGACTAATTTCATTGATTGATTGATAAGAATATCTCCAGTTTTTCTTCTTATAATGAAAGAGTATTCCATATTCCAATCATTATATACTCAACAACATTGCGAAGAAGTGGTTTGGAAATTTTTAAGATTGGGGACGCTGTTTTTTAATTTCGGACAGCTCTTCGGTATATTAGAAATATTCCTAAGTTGACTAATTTCGTTGATTGATTGATAAGAATATCTCTAGTTTTTCTTCTTAATAAAAGAGTATTTCATATTTCGATCATTATATACTCAACAAAATAGAGAGGTGGTGGGGCAATTTTTAAGATTGGGACGCTGTTTTTGAATTTCGGACAGCTCTTCGGAATATTAGAAAAGTTCCTAAGTTGACTAATTTCATTGATTGATTGATAAGAATATCTCCAGTTTTTCTTCTTAATGAAAGAGTATTTCATATTTCGATCATTATACACTCAACAAAAGAGAGAGGTGGTTGGGAAATTTCTAAGATTGGAGACGCTGTTTTTGAATTTCGGACAGCTCATCGGAAAGCTACTTTTTAAACTGGGCACTTTGCAAAATATAAGTTTAAAATGAACCATTGAAAAGCATTTGAAATTACACTTAAACAGCACCATTGTGAGTATACCACAACTCCATAGATTTCACGATTTGATACTTTTGGCAAACTCGACTGAAGAGCAGTTATTCAATTTAATTGTTTTGTTTTAACGTCTAAGTAGCATCTTGAGAAAAAATTATTGCTTCGTAAGTTTTAAATAATTACATTTTTTAAAAAAAAATGCCGTAATATTATCCATTTTAATTATTAATTCCACTTTTATTAGCAAGCATTATCTTTAAATACTAAACACATATGTTGAGTAAAATATATTTACAAAAACGAAAATATTAGTTTCCAAAGATATGCATTCCACAATTCCTATAGTTAAATAACATTATACAGAGATCTCCCTAAAAATGAAAAACGGCAGGGGGCTTTTTCAAAACAGGAGCCCCTTCAGTTTTGAAGGGCACTAATTTTGCTAAATATATTAACTATATCTAGCTAGATTAGTGCCCTACGAAATGGAATTAAACAGACTCAAATAAGTATGAGAAATAATATTTTATATAAACATAGCATAAAAATAATTTGCATAGTTTCAGTAATCTTATGTTCTTGGTTTCTGCTACAGTAATCACTTCTCTTTTTTTCTTAAAAAAAGAAAGCATTTTTTATTCTAAACAAAAAGAGGACATCATTTTTACAAAATGGTCAAGGTGGGTTTATTTACCTCTGTGAAAAAGCAAGCAGGGTGGGCCTCCCTTCTAAAAACACTTACGGAGAACACTGCATTATACATATCAGGCTATAAAAAAGTCTGCTAATTTCAGCTGTATAAATTAATCAAGAATAATATGGCTAATTTTAAAACTTTATAGTAAAATAAGCACCTTTACATCGAAAATAAAAGTAAAACACACCTCGTTATCATTTTCTAAATTAAAACAAAAAAAAAAGAAAACAAGTAGAATAAGCAATTATTTTCGGTAACGTTTTAAATACTACTCCTTGAAACTCAAATATTTGAATTAATCTTTGCATCATCAATAAAAACAATGTGTCAATTTTTTTCTTTGAATATTTTTAAGCCCTAATATCTGCGCATTATTCAGTACTACATTCTAACAAATGGAATTTTTACGTCAAAACCAAAATTACTATCGAAGTTACCTGAAAGGGAATTTCAAGGTTTTAAATAAACAGCCTGGACGTGAAGGACTAATTGTAAAAAGTCTTTTTTTAAACAACTAATGCTCTCTTGTCATGCTAAATAGTACTTTTAAGACACTAAAATGTGTATCTTGTTGAATGGTATGATGAAGTCAGGTCTATTCTTAGCTTGACAAAACCGTTGCGGAAGTACTTCCAAAAATTTTTAAAAGTTAACAGGTGCCTGAGCTAAAATATACGTCTGGATTATTTTTGGCACTCGTGGAGTTAGAAGCGTTTTAATGAGACTTTTCTGGACATTATCAGGAGGATAAGTAGTTCAGTGGGATAGTTGTGCGGTTAGTCATGAAATTCAAATACTGAGTTTTACTTTGTAGCTTTTCTTAACTAGTAATGCTCAGAAAAAAATTAGATTACGAAGATTTAATTTACTTGTTTAGTTATTTAGGCACAATTTATTTAAAGCTTTTTTCAATAAAAAAAGTTATTCAAATATTTGCTGCTACCTTTTATTTATTTAAGACATTTGTCAATGCTGTTAAACATTCCTATGCTTTTTTTTAAATGCAGCTCGTAGTTATTACCAACAAGAATAAGATTTGCAATATTCGGAATTATTCAAACATTCTCGATAGTTACATCAGAGCTTCCCTCTGCACCCATAGAATTAGCATAGGGTCGGTATAAAATTCCCTTAATTGTATTGCTAATTGCACACTGATAAAAAAAATATATGGTCAAAACCAAGAGAATATAGTTTAGTTAACTATGTTTCTGTCTCTATGGGAACATCAAAAAGTTCGGTAATTGTTACCGAAGCGTTTTGATAAGACTAACACCAAAATATGGTTTTATAATTACGTCATAAGAATTGGTAAATGTGGTAAAATTTGGTAATTTTATCAAGATACCTCAGAACATTGCATAAAAATTATTCATTCAGCTAAATTTACTTTTCAGTTTTGAATTTTTAACTAAATGTGTAGTAAGAAGAAAAATAATTTAGAAAATTGGAATTTCAAGCAAACCGTTACTATATGAAGCGACAAATTATTAAATGAATGGTTAAAATACCGTATATTTTTGTTTTGTTAGCCAGATTTATGGCTTTTTTACTCGAAATTTCATTACCATACATTGTTGTAATTTTATCAAAATTTTTTTTCTCCGTGTAGCAATAAATAATATTGACCACTGCTCACGCATATTATACTTCACTGAAGGTTAGCCAACTTTGGATAAGCAAGGATAGCAGGTGCCCAAAATAACCCAGTGATCTCAACTCTTTTGTTTTACCTTTATATGCACAGTTTTCCTTTCGATTTAGTTTATAACGCCATTTGTTTAGTTTATCTAGTATGCCTAGTATCATTCAAGTTTGACAAAATATAGTCGATGCTGAACTCGTACTTTTAGACTTTACATTAACTCAGGCCGGGATAGCCTGGTTGGTAGGGCGCTGGGCCCATGTCCGAGAGTTCGTGGGTTCGAACCCTGCTGGCCGAAGATTCACCGTGTGCCTGATGCACGTTAAAACTCTGTCGAATCGCAAAGTCCTCCACGTTCCCTTAACAAATCAATACCTCTGGAGGTACTGGATTGGAGAACGATCGTTCTCCGATTCAGGTCAAAATTACGATCTGTGGATGAATGAATGGATGTATGAATGGGTCCGCCTTATAAACAGGTGAGACGTATGATGTGGCAGAAGTCGAATTCTTGGCCATAGATCACTGAAAAACAAGAATCGCACACTCTACCTTAAATTTGCTCGGTTTCAGTTAGCAGACTTGCCCGTGCGGCAAGTGGCATTAGAACCAACCAACCGCATTAACTCAGTTAAAATGTCATACTTATGACCATTACTAAGTATTATTTAAAAAAATAATAAAGAAGTTGGTAAGCCTACCTTCAGTTTGTTGTCGATAGTTTTGACAAGAATTTCTTCTGGTGCATAATCGCTGACATCGAACCTCAGTTTGAGATTCTTGCCGTCATTGCCATTTTGCACGAGGGGAGAAGAATTCAGGTCATCCATCCAGGAACCACTGTGATTTTCGGATTTGGTACTGGAGCTGGACTCTTCAGATGTGGACATGTGAATGGATGCACTTGATTTGAAAGAACCTCGATCGTGATCCGCCAGTTTTGCTTTTAGTCTCGCCATTTCTTCTTCCATCTTTTTCATTTCGGATTCGAAACGACCACGAATGGAATGGAACTCATCATCCAAAACATGGAAATCGGATTTTTGAATGGGTACCTTGCGCTCGGGCGCCATTTATAAATCAGATGGTGTTCCAAAACTGTAAAAGAATTAATGAATTACATAAATAAATTTATCATAAATATTTAAATCTAGCATTTAAAAAAATATTTCATGAAAACTTTTCTAATATTTTTTTCAAGAACATTTGTCAAAGTTTTCATTATATCAGTTGAGTTGTCCTCACATATGGTTTGAGGCATTATTTCATCACGTGAGTTTGATTCATAAAAATTGTGAAATACTCTAAAAAATATGAAACATTCAAATATAAGACATTTTTAGTAAAAGTTTGAGTAAGTGTATATTATTCAATATCAAGAGAGAAATCCTTAAGTTGAATGTTTTGTAAGAAAAAATTACAATATGTTTAATTTCAATTCTATTATGCAACTTTTTCCGTATCTTATTATTTTGATTCCCTAGATTTACCACCAGGTATTTTCTAAATCATTTACTTATTTTAGTTTTTGCATTTGTGAACTAAAATTACTGATAGAAAGTGAGATGAACAAAAATGGTATTAACGATAATTTGTAAAACGTCGTTTTTTTTCTCTCAAATCATTTAAGCGTAGTTGTCAGCATAGCAAGTTAGAAGGTTTAACTTCGAAAACATTTAAAGCAATGTCAATTTTATAAGCTTTAATGTTTTTTTTTTTTTTTTTTTTTTTTTTTTTTTTTTTTTTTTTTTTGTATTTAACAAACGTGATGGTTTTTTGTATTTAACAAACTTCCGATGATATATAATTATTAGACAGCATAATATCTTTCAAAAAAAAGATAAAAAATAAAAAAAAGTCGCTTTATTAGATTAGAAGAAATGGCACTCAGTAATTTTTAGAACTTCCTTGATTTCTTTCAAACTTTTAAAGCAATAAAATAATGTGATTTGCGGTTTTTAAGTAAACAATTTAAAACTACACATTTCTCAGTTTTCAGATTTTTCTTAAAAATCTAATTTTATCACAGCTTTAACTGATGAAAAGCGATTTGGAGGGAGCTAAAAAATTATTTTAGTGTTAATTGCATAAAAGCAAAAGCATAAAAGCAAAACTTATCAAAATATAAAAACTAATAACTACTTAGTGTTTGAATAACTTTTCGAAAACTGTTTCTTCCAGAATTTCATTGGCATAATTTTGAGAGAGAAAATTATTAAAGAATCTAAAATATCACACGGGTCTTATCTCAAATTGTGGTTTAATGGCTACCTCGCATTTTAGATGCCTCGAAAGATGCTGTCAAATGGAGTAAATATCCATCATCAGTTTATTTGAGAAAATTAAGTAAAAAGCAAATTTAGAATTTTCCCTCCCCGTCTCTACCCATTTAACAGTTGAGTTCGTTTGGGAGAGTTTGGGAGTACGTATAGAATCAATTTCCTCAAAATTTCTAAGTTTCACAATGCAAATAAGAATAAGAAAGTTTACAGCTAATTTTTTTAATGCCTTCTATCTATAAACAAAATAAATAAATCTACGTGATGTCTGGAAATGTGAGGCGATCACCGTGAGAAGTTAAAGATATGCAACAAAACAGCTGCCCTTTTTTTCTGTAATATTTACACAATAAAAAAAATAAAAACAATCTGATGCCACATCTCATCGGACAACAATGCTCGGAATAGTTGTGTAACCGGGAAGAGGAAACTTGTTTTTTTAACACGTGATTGTCCAGTCCCTCATCATCGCTTAACTAAAATGCATCCACAGAGAAATTCAGGGACGTTCCATTCCATTGCAAGGTCAGTCGCGCTGAATTCGTACGAACCGGCAGACGATTATTGTTTGTGTTTTTTTACAAATATGTGGAGCAAAAAAAATTCAATTGTTATAATAATGAAGAAGCACGTTTCGAAAAAAAAAATCCCAATGCGTCGTAAATGTTGCGAAGATGTACAAAAAAAAAAAAAAAAAGAAAGAAAGAAACTGGTTTGATCTTTAGATATTCTAAATTATGTTCTCACGCATCATTTCCGTAGTTAGATGAATGACTCATTATTTCTACATCGCATATTTTTATGTTATACTGATATTACATTCCAACAAGTCCTAAAAACTCTTTAAAAAAAAGCTTCAGCTTAACTGTAAACTTAATTCCTTATTCTCAGCCGAAATTGCTACAAATTGTATCATCTACTTCATGATATCCCAAGAAGAAAATTATCATACATAAATCATTACACCCTGCTTTCAGTGGCGTAGCGAGGGGTGGGCAAGGGGGGGCATCATGCCCCGGGCGCTACTCACAAAGGGGCGCCAAATGGTCCGTAAAACAAAAAATTGCTGGATAATTTTTTTTTATTATAATTGATTTCTGGAAAATATATTTTAAATTAGTGCCAGTGTAATATAATAANTTAACTTTAAACTTAATTCTTTATTCTCAGCTGAAATTTCTACAAGAGGTATCATCTACTTCATTATATCCCAAGAAAAAAGTTATCACACATAAATCATTACATCCGCCTCTTAATAAGTAATTTTTGCTCACGGTAAAGAAAACCAAATATAAAAGTACCGGCACTACCGAAAAACTCATTTTAACTGTAAAGTTTTCCGGGACAAAAAAAATTTTACACATCTTTGCAGCAATCTTTACCAAATCACTGTAATTAAATAAGTATTACTGTAATAATTAGGGTGTAAAATTTTACTGTAAAAATTAATTTTGCGGTGCTGTACTCAAGCTGCCAGTTTTTTTTATCATAATTTTATCCAGAATTATTTTGAATGTGTATAAACGTGATTATTTTCCGCTGTTCTTAAAATAATTTTTTTCTCTATTTTCATTGTTTTTAGAATTTTTAATTATTAATTAATGCTTTCTAATTTCTATCATCATATCCTAAACAGTCCTAATAATCCTAAACAGTACTTAAGCCGCGGAACGCCTATAGCTCCTCCTCGGCACCCTTAGGGCCCGCGAAACTCCATTTGGGAACAGCTGGATTATAAAGCATATTTTTGTACGTATAATAAATACGAAATTTTTTTGTAAAAGAAAATCAGTATGTATAGTTGTGAATACCAAGCTATTTTTAATTAAACATATAGAATTTTTCACTAGAGCATCTATAAAAATTCACGAATTTAAATTAACTAATTGAATTAACTTACTAAAATATTAAACGATAATTACTTCAAAATTATATTGAAACGTCATCATTTGTCTTCAGACCAAAAACGCGATTAATTTTAGTAACAAAAGCACAAACAATTTGAAATCCCGAAATAGAATCTGATATATACTGATCATTAATTATGAATGGAAAAAAAGAAGAATCACTTTCTAGTAGAATACAGTCTCTTTATCTCTCTATTTTTTCTCCTTTTTTTTGTAACCGGAAGCAAAATTCTGTTCAACAAAACTGTCTATTGGAAAACAGATATAATTATATTAGTTCCTAATTGAAAAGAGCGCACGCTTTCCCGATGATATGCATGCATGAATGGATCTTCCGTGACCTATCGGACAAAAGTGAATGCTGAATATAACTAACTTACAACTCACTACGCCCAGCAAACTTTTATGTGAGAATGATCTTTATTTAATGTAATCTCTGACAAAAGTGAGGGCGGTTTCCAAAACGTTAAGTTAAATATTACTCCTATTGTTCAGGATAAACGGTATTAAAATTCCTTGGCTAAGAGGTAGTGCATTAAAAGGTTAACTATAAAGTGGATTTTAAATTATCAACGTTTACAGTTTTTTTAATTCAGCGTTACAATGAAAAAGAAAGACGATTATTTTAATACAAAATAATGTATTGCATAAATTACTTTTCATAAAAACAAATAAATTTTATTAAAATAATTGCAATGAATTTAAGGAGTTACATTAAACAGTAGATATACTGTTCGAAATTTTGAAGCCTGGTGAATTATAACGTCGTTCAAATATGGTGCAATCTTAATATGGTACAATTTGGAACCATTTCATTATACTTCTTAAGCTTCATTACACGATATTATGGAATAGTGCAAAACTATTGTTCTATTTTACGCCTAGGTTACAGCAAATTAGCTTGATATTATGGTTCAAATTCTGATATTACGTTTGTTCTGAACCAATCTTTCTGAGAATGAATCTTCGCAAATAATCGCAAAATCAAATTACATTTCTACTATTTCTGTTGTTTAATGAAAAGAAAAACATTAACGTTAGATAAATGTTTGTTGTTCAAATTACGCTTAGCAATTTTTTATAAACTTGAACCAACTGCTAATTAAAAATATTATTTAAGAAAACTTATCTTGAAGATTAAGTGTATCGATGAGTTCGAAAATCAGTCATCTCCATTTTATTTTTTTCAAAATTGGGATTCATGCATTTTGAAGTTTAGCTGACGTAGATACATAATTAAGATATAAAAAATTCATATCCACCTACTTGCTATAGTATATTTTGTGCAAGCTCTGCATATATCAAGCTGATACTTGTTGTGTCGCCTGTACAATTAGTTTCGTTGGAGATGACCTGTTTTCGAACTCATTTATTCAATTGAAAGCAAAAATATAACTCACAAAGACAATAATTTCCAAGTATAAAATTCCTTATAGTTCCACGATATAGCTTGTATCAATAAAAAATTTCATACTTTTTCCATGAAGCAAAATTATTACTTTAAAAGTATCATATCCTAAATCGATGTCAATGACATATTCTAGAATGATATTTTAAGCTGTCAGGGCACGCAATATTAAGTTGGGTAGTTCAAAGAATATGTTTCAGGTTTGGAATTATACTACTTTTTTGAATAGTTTAATAACCTCGAAAAAGAAAAACAATGAAACTACCTTGACTTCGACTGAAAGAACATTTTGGATGGAACAAAAAGTATTTTCATTCCTGTTTTCTTCTCCCGAAATGGATTTATTATGATAAACGAATTTTACTGGACTAAGTTCGTTATATTGCAGTCACGCTATCGATGAGGCTGGAGCTAGTAAATAGGTTATTTATAAGCTTATATTTATTCATTTATCTAAAAACTGTAACTTTCATGCTACAAAATAAGAATAAATAACGTTATCTT